AAAGATACTAGATTCACACAAAGAACCTTGTCTGCCTGTGTATTTAGAGATGTGCCTGGAAGATAATTACTACATTAACAATTTAATGTCTTGATTAGATGTTTAAAGTTACTATTAAGGGCTTTAAGGGCTCAGTTCAGTAAAGTTGGGAGTACTGTGTTCCCAACCTAACAAAGCACACAAGCATGTTTTTAAGCATGTGAATATCCCACATAATGAAGGGGACTCCTCACAACCACTTGTTTAATTTTAGGCATAAATGCTTTGTTCAGTTGGAACTACTGCACTCCACCGGATTGTGTCCTGTGTATGGTCTCAAAGAGGGGTGTGGGCTTTTTTTTACATGGTGTTCTTGTGTCCTGTTGCTGTTTGGGAATTTCTCATGATTTCCACTTTATACTGTAGTATTGGGCCTCATACTGTTTCTTTTGCTTTATCTTTCAATGTAAATATGTTTAGACATCTATTTAATAGCTAATATGGATTGTAAACATAACTAATTTGCAATCCCTTATTTCCCCTAATGAATTTCAGTGAATTGACTCAGTTAATCGAGTCTGCTCCACATGCAAGCTGACGTTCTCAGCACTGCATCCCATACATTTGTATCAATGGTGAAATGTGCGTCAGCACTGAGAAAATGGCAGAGGTACACTTTTGAACTAAAACACCTTCCATGTGTTTTAGCTCAAAAGTGTGCCACCACCATTTTCTCAGTGCTGACATGCATTTTACTGTTTATACAAATTTTTGTGCCACGGCACCAGGCACTTTTAAAAGCACTCAGTGCTGCAGCGCAAGCATGTGTACAGATGCCCATAGACGAGCCCATCTGTGTCCTCTCTCTGATTGCACTTTAGGTATCAAATCCCCCCTTAGTCTTCTCTTCTCCAGACAAAATAACCATGGTTCTTTTAGTCTTTCCTTCTAAGTCTTGCCTCCTGTCAGTTTAGTTGGTGTGTACTGGACTTTTTCCAAACTGTCCACTTCTTTCTTGAAGTGTGGGTCCTCACTTGGAATACTGCACACAGTACTTCAAGTGAGACCTCACCAGTGCTGAATAGAGCAGAAGAATCACTTCCTTTGATTCGCAGGTGACACTGTTGTTAATACAACCCAGTATGCTCTTGTCTTTTTTGCAACAGAGCAAAGAGCACACTATGCTGTTGGCTCATATTGAAGCTTATGGTTCATGTAATCCTCAGGTCCTTCAGGATGGTGGCTAGAAGTAATCACGCTAATTATTTTGCAAACATATTAGGTAGTTTGTATGGGCAGTTATTTTCATTGTGTAGACCTGCTATACTGAATAACATGGTACAGCTCTTATTTATGGCACTATTTGAATGTGCCAAAAACCCCACAAAACCCAACCAGCTTAAAAAAACAAATATTCATCAGATTTCATCAGGACTAAACAAATATTCATCAAGACTAGAATTCCAGGTTGGAACTTCCATTTTAAATTACTGGGCAACTATTTTGCAATACTCTCTGTGTAATCAAGACCTAGCTTTGCCAACTCAGCAAGTTAAGCCGTGCATGGAGGTCTGGACTTTTCAGACTCATTCCAAGGAAATTCAAAATTAAATCAAATCCTTTTAAATTAGCACAAAAGAATAATAGTTACAAAGAAAAAATGTTTGGAGTACAAAATAAAATGACCTGATAACATGTGAAAATATTAGTGGCTTTTTGAAAAATAATATATTGTGAGACCAAAACAATAAAGTAAAACAGTGAATTAATTGTACCTCTTGGGCTGTTTTTACATTATAAGGAGTCATGTTGAAATAGGGAATAATAAAAAGAAAATATCACTAAAATTATCTTTTGGAAGAGACTAGTTTGATAACACTTTTATTGTAATGGGATCTATTGTGGTTGCGAGTGTTGTGTATGAAGGAGAGGATTGGAAAGTTAAGAACCCATCACCATGGAGGTCTAATTGAAGTCCTTGTAAGCAACAACTACATTGGGAATAGAAGATAGAGGTAGTTTAATGCTGTGCTTAGACTGTACCAAGACACAACTAACCTTTCTGGAATCTGCTTATGATATAATCAGTTCCTGAATTTCTGGCTAAACTGGAAAGGTGAGAAATTTGGGGGTTTTGTACCTGTGAAAATAAGCATAACAATATAAGATTGTACAGATGCAGTACAGCTGGTGTTGGAATAAACCACAGAAGCAAAGAAATTCAGAAATTGTAATGCCAGTCTTAATCCGTCTAGGCAGCAGACTGCTGTTTGGCAAAATAGAGTGGCCTGTGCTGAACCGTGTACTGCCATGGCTAGCCTGCAACTGGTACCTGAGATAACTAGTTTAAAGCTTGCACAGATATCTCTAGTTTAACACACAGTTTGCAGTATAGACATGCCCTAAGGCCTGTTCCAGCAAATATTTACATGTTTAATTTTACTACTGTAAGGAGTTCCCCTGAAATCAGTGCCATTCTTTGTAACAGTAAAGATCAGCTCATATGTAGAGTTGTTCAAGCATGAACAACATGAGTTTAAGGTTTGTTTGCCATTCTCAGGACAAGGCTAGAGTGGCCCAATGACATTGTCAAGATTACATCTAACAGACCTGATGAGCATGTTATTAAAAAAGTGTAATGTTTCCTGACTATCGTAGTATATACCAAAAACCATACTTGTTTCCCTCGTAAAGGCTTTCTGTGTTAATTAGTTAAAATTTACAAAAAAAAATTTCTTAAATATCTAAAAAATATTTGTAAACTGGCTTATTAACCTAATTAGGCTTTTTGTTGACCTGACAAATTATTTTCCCAAAGTGCTGTCTATATATACATCTGACTTCGGAAGCTGTTTATTGTTAATTTGTCTGGATATCTTCATTCATAATGTTTTACATTTCTTAATCAGATGAATTGCACAGTTGGACTTGCAGAGTGGTAAAAAAGACCGGTGTTGGAGAAACAAACTTTCTGACTCTTGATGCAGAGAATAAATCAGCAAGGAAAGCAAATTATGATATTCTTTCTGTAGCCATCATCATAGTGGTGCTCAAGTTACTGCTTTTACTAAATGATCAATATGAATGGTAAGTCTTATGGACTATTGACAGTTTGTTATAGGAGATCAGATTTTCTAATGTTGCAGTCCAGAGCTATTAAAAACCATTTTTATAGTGAGTGAAGACTCAAATAATGTAAGCCAATTTAAATAATAAGAAATGGGCAAGCACCTAGCCGGGGTCATCTGACCCCAGCGCTTTTTCCTGCCTAGGACAGGGGGTCGGACTCGGTGATCTACTGAGGTCCTTTCTGCCCCTAAAAATCTATGAAATCTATTCAATCTATGAAATTATATTTTGACGTAACTCATCTATGAAACGATCTGTAGTATGACACTATTCCTTTAGTTAATTAATCATGAATTCTTGAGCTGTAAGAAATAGTTTATATATGAAAAATGGCTCTAAATTGACAACTGAGTGTAAACCTAATTACAAATTCTAAATCAAAGTATAATTCTTGATGTCTGTAGTTTTATTTGAAATACATATTTAATGTTTCAAAAATAGAATGCACGGGTCCAAAAAAAGTCCATCTGATAAAAGTATATCTTTTCAGGGTACTTTCAAACTTTGCTGAAGAAAGAAACAAAAAGAACAAAGAAGGTACATAAATATTTCAGTGGAAACAGTCTAATTTTGTAAATGAAATAACTTTGTAATTCAGCTATGTAGAATTTTGGCATTACTGACCCTCAAACTGTGTTCTTTGGCATTCATTACTCATTTGCGATGTGCTAGTTTCTCCTTTTGGGAAAATCTAACTATAACGAGAGTTTTGTTTTTATACAGTTGGTGCTATATTTGATTATGTAATTGCCATTCTTGGATATATTTAGTTAATTGTGCGTACAATTCTGGTGTTTTTGCTAATTGCCTTTCATTTTTTCTGTACTCATTATTTTTGCTCAGGTTGATATACCTTTTTCTTTATAATGTGACCCTTTATGTACATTCAAGATCCATTTTATTTTCTGTGGCTGCTAAGTAAAGAGGTACCCTAGCATAGACTACAGCCAGTTATTACTTTTTAAGCATCTTGTGTATGCCAGATGTAAGCTGTTTGAAGTAATTTTAGTTAAAATGTATTAGTGAGTAACATGACTTCAAACACAACCCATTTTCTTAGTCTAGATAAAAGCATGTTAAAGTCACAGAGAATATAAATGCAACTGAAATAGGAAAAAAAGTTTGCCGCTGTACAGTCAAAGGTAAGAAATCAGGTTAGAAAAGTGTTCAGGAAGGCTTGCAAAGGTCATGCCCAAATCTTGCTAAGGATTAGCATGGGAGAGTGATTTTTTTTTATTTTTATGTTTTTTACATTTTAGATAAGCACACAAGGGCCTAATAAATGAAAAAGCAAAAAGAGAGATTGTGTCAATTTGTGAGCATAGTGTCTGAAGCATGTGGACACAGTTTTTACATTATTTAGAAGACTTTTACATTGTTCACTTAAAATTAACACTGTTTTATTGCCAGCAGTACACAAACGTCTCTTCAGTGCTTAGATAGTAATTACCACATTTGTTTCACATTTCTCTTGAAAGGTTGAAATGCATGTTATTCCAAGAATGGAAACAGCACAACTGCCTGCTAGCATATGTCACATTGTTGTTGCTTGATTATTAACAGGTTGCACTGCCTTTAGAAGTTGCTGGTTCATTCTTTTAGTACTTATTGTAGATCTTATTCCAAATGTCCCTTCATTCGAAACACTACAAAGGACATCTACATTGTTCTGTCTCTGTTCTAACCTTTTACATGGACAAAGGAAAGGCGATGATTGTGCATAGGGACTTCTGTGAGGTTTTCTGCTGCCATACTGATTAGCACAAAGACTGTTAAGACCAGATCTGGCACTTTGGCTGCCTTTTTAGCATAGTGAAAATCATTTTAGTCAATTCTAAGTTTTAAGAGTCTGGGCTAAATAAATTCATTTTTACACTCATGTATAATAGTGAGCTGTGTATACATTTTAAATGTTTCTATTGGAAAAAAAGAAAATTAAGATAAATTTTCTGAGGTCTTTTGTAAAACTTTGTAAAATGTCCTTTGCATTATCCTTTTTTGTGTTGTTATCACTTGTTCACAAACTACATTTTGGGATGTTTCTGTAGGCCGCCTATGGTTTGATTTCAGAAAGTGGTACAAGGTAGTAAAGAAATCTTTGGATATAGAGCAAAAGAAATTGGCTGAAGAGCGTGCCAGGTATGTTACTCCTCAGTGCCTCCCATTTCCCATTGATCTTAGGCAGGGGTGAGCAAAATATGGCCCGCAGGCTGAACCTGGCCTGTGGATGGGGCTTTGTCTGCCCCACAGTGGGTCCCCTGGTCCCACCTGGCCCAGGCACCAACTGGCCTTGGCACGTCCTGCTGCCCCTGGGCATGCAGTGGAGCTGAGGCAGATCCACGGCTGGACTGCCTTTCTAGGCAGCCCAGGTGGCGGTGGCAGTGGCTCCTGGCTACTGCCACTGCTGGCCCCAGACCTGTGGTACTGGTGGGGACCTGCTCACACAGCCCCAAACTGGCATGGTCCGTGCCTCCTCTGGACTCTCCCGTTCAGGCTAAACAACAGTGGTAGCTGCCAGGCTGAAACTGTTGCTTGGCGCTGGGGAAAAGCAACCCCTCCCCTTCACTGCTGCCAGGCAGTTCTTGCTGCAGCCACCCAGAGCCTGCACTGCGCCAGCCTGCCCTGCATCTCCACCACCGTCACTGCTGCCTCTGGGCTGCCCAGTGGGGCAACAGTGACAGGCAGCCTGAGCAGCGGTGATGGTCACAGAGACGCAGGGCAGCCTGGCACAGTGCAGGCTTCGGGTGGCTGCAGCAAGATATGCCTGGCAACAGTGAGGGTGAGGGGCCGCCTTTCGCCTGCACTGAGTAAGTTTCTGCCCAGCAGCCACCACTGCTACTCAGCGTGGATGGGCTAGTCCAGAGGAGACATGGGGTGTGCTGGGGTGGGGCTGTGCGCATGGGTCCCTGCTGGCAACTGCAGGGCTGGGGCCAGCAGCAGCAGCAGCCAGAAAGAGCTACCATTGTCTGGGCTGCCTAGAAAGGCAGTCCAGCTGTGGAGCCGCCCCAGCCCTGCTGTGTGCCCAGGGGTGGCCAGAGGTGCCACAGCTGGGCAGTGCCTGAGCCAGATGGGACCAAGAGACCCACTGTGGGCTGGACAAAGCCCCTCCATGGGCCAGATTCGGCCTGTGGGCCATATTTTGCTGGAAGGAGCCACTGCCGCCGGGGCTGCTTAGAAAGGCAGTCCAGCTGCGGGACCACCTCATCCCCGCTGCGTGCCCAGGGGTGGTAGAACATGCCATGGCCTGGTGGTGCAGAGCAGGCTGGGGAGGGCTGGGGCTGCATGCTGTTGGCGGTGGCAGGGAGATGCCGCAGGGTGTGCGGGCTCTGGGTTATTGTGGGATGGGGGCAAATGCTGACCAGGTTTGGGGGGCTCCCATGCCTACCCCACCATACCCCCAAACCCTCCCCCACAAACCCCACTACCACACCCTCCGCACACACAATCACATATCCCACAAGCACTGCACCCATGCACGCTCTCCCCTACACACCTCCATAAACTCCACACCCCATGCATGCCTCTGAGGGGAGCCCTGCTCACTGTTATGTGCACATACCTGCACACACCCCCAGCCTCCCACAAATCCCATACCCACACGTGCACACACCCACTTATCCCCACAACCCCCATATGCTGCCACCCACATCCACACAACCCCACATACACACACACCTACAACCCCCCACAAGCCCCATACCCACCCATACCCCCAGACACTCCCTCCCCTGAACTATACAAGAGTAAGACTTCATTTTGAGCTATTATGCAATCACCTCTATATACTCAGTGCAAACACACACAGATCAGGACAAAATATTTTTTTAAATTTAAATGAAAATGTTATTTGAAAATAAAATTAAAATATTTTATTTTAGGTTTTCCAAAAATATCTGTATACCACTAGCAGGACTCTTAAGAAATTTCTACCCCTTTAAATTGTTTAGATACAATTGTGCTAACCTTTTCACTGTGTATATTTCTTTTACTTGTAGGTGTCTGTGGAAATGTGAAAAGCCACTATTCTACTCAGCTAAGCAAAAAGCTGCCATTTTAAAGAAAAGACGTGAGTGAACCTTGGCTCTTTCCCTTACAATTAGAACATGCTTTAATTTTCTGTGTCCCTGGGGGAAAATATCACGAGAAAAATAAACCAGTCTCGACTCTACTTGCCTCTTCTACTACTGCCCCTTCTTCCTTTCATCTCTAAGCTCATTGATTGCACTATGTTCAGTCAGTGTCTGGAGTTCCCCTCCAATCTGGCAGACAACTAAAACTACTTTTTCCAAAGTCTCTAAAAAAACTTCCTTTAACCAGGACTCAGAACCTGTGCTCCAATATCACCTTCCTTGACCTACTGCTCTGACAGTCAACCCAAGCTCTTTTCTTAAAATCTTATCCTCACTTGCCTTCTACATCTCCATTCCCTCTTAGATCTCCTTTCATCTCACTGATGCTTCTCTCAGTGTTAGTGAATTTGTTTTCCCATCTCCTTTCTGCTGTGGATATCCTCTTCTCTTAGGAATATAGGACTGGAAGGAACTTCCTGGGTCTTTGAGTCAATCCCTTACTATTGGAGGCAGTCATGTTTTGCTGGCTGCCAAGCAACGAGAATCAGCCTTTCTTTAAGAAAGTAAAATGCAGATGCAAATCAAGATTAAACCCAGTGATTTAAAGGCAAGATTTCCTGTTTGCTGTTTTTATATTTTAATCTGTGTTTTAATTCAGTCGATCTAGACAGAGCTGAAGATGATGCTGAGGTTATGAATGACAGGTAGGATGAAAGTCTTGCTTCCAGTGATAAAGGAAGGTGGTAGCTGGGAAAGTGTGCAAGATAGCTGAGTAAGAGCTTTGTTTTAAACTTATCAGGCTGTCAGCTCAAGATCAACATTTACAAGAAAGTCAGAGACAAGCAGAGGTTTTAGTTTGAATTATACCAGCCTGACTTGGTATAATATTACAGGACTGGTTTCTAGGCAAAGGGAATGTAATTGATATGGTGCCACAATCCATATGGAAAATTATTAATTAAGCTAGAGAAGATGGAGTTTAGTACAAGAACTGCAAGATGAGTAAGGGCCTGGCTCAAAGGGAGATGACAATCGATTGTGTCAAAAAGGAAAGTACAAGGCTGGATGGAGGTTGCTAGTAGAGTTTCACAAAAAACAGTCCTGGGACTGACCTTATGTAATATTTTCATTAATGATGTTGGCACAACATGTAGGTGGGTGCTAATAACATTTGCAGGCAGTACAAATTTAAGAAACATTGTCAGTGCATAGGAGAATAAGGATATCAAATAGGAAGATTGGGATGATCCAGAGGAACTGGAAATTATATGAAATTTAAGAATATGAAGTGCAAGGTAACACACTTATCACACTTAGCAATTATTTGTTTCTATATGATGGGAGCTCTTCAATTAGAAATGATGGAGGAGAAGGAAGAAGGTAAAGAAGAGAGTAAATAAACCTTTTAGAGTCTGTTTATATATCATACAGAGAGAAATTCTATTTCTTTGTAAATCAACTCCAAATAGAATTTTATTGTGTTATGTTGAAAAGATAAATTGTGTATGTGGAGAAAGGTGAACTTACCAGGAGGGAACAGGGGGGAACAGAAGAGGCCCTGTTCCCCTGAGCACTACCTGGAATAACTAGGAATAACGACCATAAGTTGATTGAAAGTAGGTTCAGGCTAGACATCAGGAAGCATTACTTCACAGTCAGGGTGGCTAGGATCTGGAACCAACTTCCAAGGGAAGTGGTGCTGGCTCCTACCCTGGGGGTCTTCAAAAGGAGGCTAGATAATCACCTAGCCAGGGTCGTTTGACCTCAGTACTCTTTCCTGCCATGGCAGGGGGTTGGACTTAATGATCTGCTCATTAGGTAGGGCTGGAAGGTCCCTTCCAGCCCTACCAACTATGAAACTATGAAGATTTCTTGTGGCTAAGGCTTTTGTTTCTATTTGTACAGAAATGATACTGAGCTTACAAAAACAGTTTGGTGCACTGACAGATTCACCTCAAGTTACTGAAAAGCAAAGCCCTTCAAGTTTCCAGTTAAGCTGGGATGAAGAAAACGCAGATGGAAGTTGTTTTCATGGGCATAGCCTGGAGGGATTTTTGCAAGAAAAAGGCGATTTGCATAGACCCGTGAACCCTGAATATTGGCTTTGTACAGTCAAACTATGTAACAAAAAGTAGGTATTTGGCTTTTGTTGTGAACTATTATATTGTTATACAAAACAGTTAAATGTTTATGAAAAATGCTCTCCTACTATATATGTCTATATTTCTCTGTCTCACACTATACATATATGTGTGTATATAATATGGATATGTGTGTGTGTGTATACATACCTATTATTTTAGGTGTTTATTTCAAAATAAAATACCTTATTTTAA